TCAAAAGAACTGATTTGTATGAAGAGATGAGAATAAGGTGTTAATAGGATTAGTGACTTTTTTTGTGTCTTTAAACTGTGTAAAACTTCATGTAGTGTAACCTTACTGCCTCAGCCTCTTCCTCATTTTTATCCCTACTGCCAATCCACCCACACCATTTTGTGTAAAAGGGCAGGTTTCAACTGGAGGACCTGACATTGCAGGTATTTTTTAAAAAAAGCAATTGTAGGCACAGTCATTCACTGAAAGAACTCCTTGATATTTCAATTCTGTACCTCTGTACAATCTGTGAATTTGACAAATTTTGGCTAACTTGACCTACCAAAGACAAACAAGAAGAAAGAGATTTCTGTCAAACCTTGTTAACTATGGCAAAGATTCCGGAAGTCCTCAGGCTATGTGAGGTTACCGGGCCTGGGCTAGGACTGGATCCACATAGACATATTTTTAACAGAAAAGAGAAAAAAATAATTTTAGATAAAATATTTTAATTATGTTATCACAGAAAGCAGAACAAAGATGTATAGAGATTTACACAACTATGTATATGTGTGTACACAAACATTTATTTACAAATGTACAATCATATATACCAAATTTGAAAGGGAATATACAGGAAAAACATGTATTAGGGTATTGAGGATGTTTCTTTTTCTTTCTCTTTCTTGTGACGGATCTTGCTACATAGCCCAGGCTGGTCTTGAACTCACAGCGATCTTCCTGCGTCAATCTCCCAAGTACTGGGACTACAGGTGTGAACCACCATGCTTGGCTTCTTTTTCATTTTGTAATATACTCAACAAAACATTACACTAATGTTTTATTTCTGGAGAATCTTATACAAATGAATTTGTTCAAGAGCTTCTCTGTCCATGTCATTTTGTGGGTACATATCATAGTTCAGTGGTATCTCTTCAACCCAGGAGGATAACTGTATATTAGTCTAAGAGAAAATAAAAGAATTATACACAAAAATGAAACTTACAGAATGATCCTGTTTCCTGGAACTGTATGAAATCATTACTAAGTAATTGAGCACAACAGATTTTTATTACAATGCATAGGACTAAGTCTGCATGGTGCCACATGAATAATTTGTTTATATATGGTAGGTCTATGCATTTAGAGACCATACTGTGACTTACTGTGATTTCTGAACTTGAAAGAATATAATGTTTTGTTTTTTGAGATAGGGTCTCCCTACATAGTTCAGCCTAGCCCTGAATACACCATGTTGTCCAAACTGGCCTAAAACTCCTGGCAACCTCCTGCTTCAGCCTCCTAACTACTGGGATTGCAGCCATGTGCCACCACATCTGGCTAAGAATATAATTATTTTAATAGGAGCAGGGTAATTATCATCATTAGGTTTAAACAACAAAAGACTAGAATAGGGGCCAGTGAGATAGCTCAGAGAACTGAAGTGCCTGCTCAGGCAAGTGCAGGGACCAAGGTTCGATCCCCAGCACCACATGCTGCACCAATCCTACCCCCAAGGCACGCTGAGCCGGCCAGAGTCCGGGTGTAGTTACACCTGTAATGGGGAGGCTGAAAGCAGAAGGATTACTATGAGTCCAAGCTGAGTAGTAACACCCTATAACAACCAAATCCATTTAAAAAAAAAATAAAACATTGATAAGACTGTCACAGTGAGGGGGTATGAGCAATCTCTGTCCACTAGCCTTTCCCCTACTGAAGCCTTATCTGTTTGAAGAAATTTCCTTAAATGGAAAGTAATACAATTAATTAGAGTTTGTATATAAGGACAGTAAGGGTAAGTATCAATGTCTAATGGTTGTTTGGTGAGATTTCTGTATTTAGGGTGAAATCTACTATTTTGGTAAATGAAAAATCACTGAATTATTTTGTATATACAGAAATTGTAATCCAGGGCCGGCCAAACAGCTCAGTGGATTAAAGCACCTGCAAGCAGGCACAGGGGATGGGGGTTTGATCCCTGGGCCTGCCATGCTGGCCCCACGCCTATAATCCCAGCTCTTGGGAGGCTGTAAACAGTCAGATCACTACAAATCTGGTCTAGTAATGAGACCCTGAATACCCTGTAGACCCTTCCCTAAAATACAAAACAAAAAAAAAGAGGAGACCCTGAATACCCTGTAGACCTTCCCTAAAATACAAAACAAAAAAAAAAGAAAAAAAGAAAAAGAGAAATTGCAATTCAAATTCCAGACCATATGTTTTAAAAAGTCTTTTTGTCTGGCAGTACTACGGATCAGACCCAGGGGTACTCCACCATGGAACTACATTCCTAGCCCTTTTATTTTTTGTTTTGAACTTGGGTCACACTAAATCACAAGGCTGGCCTTGAACTTACTATGTAACCCATGTTGGCCTTGAACTCACAGAATCCTCCTGCTTCATCTTCCAGAATGCTGAGATTAGAAGAGTATGCCACCATGCCTGGCATGAATTACTTTTATAATTTGGATGATTGCTAAGATTTTCAAAAAGTATTACTGATGACTGATTTTTGTGGATATTTTTTGCATCTTTTTTATAAGGACATACTGGTCACACAGATTAGTGGATTTTATTTTGAGATTGTTCAGTTTTACAAAGGAAGAAATCTTTTTTTTTTTTTTTTTTTTTT